TGGTATTTAAGACATGAATTTAGTGTGTTTTTTAAGTCAGATCAAAGTCAAATTTTATTTTTAAGAATTGCAGTGTTTTGATTCATTTCTGGGAGTGCATTTTGTTGTGTAATATAATTAAAGCTCTTGTCATGCCTAGCATTTTGGGCAGACTAAAATACTAATACACGTATTTGGATGAGGATTGTAATAAGTAATTTAGGTTTGTGATATAATTCATCATGAATGATTTCTATGTAGTATAATTGTAGTATAATTGTAGTATAATTGAAAGGTGAAGAGAGTGGTGAGAGAGTGCAAAAGGAGAGCAGATGAAAGAGTGGGAGAGGCACTGTCAAGAAATTTTAATGAAAATAAGAAAAAATTTTGGAGTGAGTTAAACAAGTTAAGAAAGCCTAGGAAAGTATGGATTTGTCAGTTAAAAACAGAGTAGGGAGTTAGTAGATGGGGAGAGGGAGGTATTAGGTAGATGGCGAGAATATTTTGAGGAACTTTTAAATGTTAAGGAAGAAAGGGAGGCAGAAATTTTTCATGCACTGGCCAGGGAGGTATACCATCTTTTAGGAGTGAAGAAGAGCAGAATGTAAGTGTGGTGGAGGTACGTGGGGCATTACTAGAATGAAAGGGGGTAAAGCAGCTGGAACTGATGGGATCATGACAGAAATGTTAAAAGCAGGGGGGATATAGTGTTGGAGTGGTTGGTACTTTTGTTTAATAAATGTATGAAAGAGGGAAAGTACCTAGGGATTGGCGGAGAGCATGTATAGTCCCTTTATATAAAGGGAAAGGGGACAAAAGAGATTGTAAAAATTATAGAGGAATAAGTTTTACTGAGTATACCAGGAAAAGTATACGGTAGGGTTATAATTGAAAGAATTAGAGGTAAGACAGAATGTAGAATTGCGGACGAGCAAGGAGGCTTCAGAGTGGGTAGGGGATGTGTAGATCAAGTGTTTACATTGAAACACATATGTGAACAGTATTTAGATAAAGGTAGGGAAGTTTTTATGCATTTATGGATTTAGAAAAGGCATATGATAGAGTGGATAGAGGAGCAATGTGGCAGATGTTGCAAGTATATGGAATAGGTGGTAAGTTACTAAATGCTGTAAAGAGCTTTTATGAGGATAGTGAGGCTCAGGTTAGGTGTGTAGAAGAGAGGGAGAATACTTCCCGGTAAAAGTAGGTCTTAGACAGGGATGTGTAATGTCACCATGTTGTTTAATATATTTATAGATGGGGTTGTAAAAGAAGTAAATGCTAGGGTGTTCGGGAGAGGGTGGGATTAAATTATGGGGAATCAAATTCAAAATGGGAATTGACACAGTTACTTTTTGCTGATGATACTGTGCTTATGGGAGATTCTAAAGAAAAATTACAAAGGTTAGTGGATGAGTTTGAGAATGTGTGTAAAGGTAGAAAGTTGAAAGTCAACATAGAAAAGAGTAAGGTGATGAGGGTATCAAATGATTTAGATAAAGAAAAATTGGATATCAAATTGGGGAGGAGGAGTATGGAAGAAGTGAATGTTTTCAGATACTTGGGAGTTGACGTGTCGGCGGATGGATTTATGAAGGATGAGGTTAATCATAGAATTGATGAGGGAAAAAAGGTGAGTGGTGCGTTGAGGTATATGTGGAGTCAAAAAACGTTATCTATGGAGGCAAAAAAGGGGAATGTAATGAAAGTATAGTAGTACCAACACTCTTATATGGATGTGAAGCTTGGGTGGTAAATGCAGCAGCGAGGGAGACGGTTGGAGGCAGTGGAGATGTCCTGTCTAAGGGCAATGTGTGGTGTAAATATTATGCAGAAAATTCGGAGTGTGGAAATTAGGAGAAGGTGTGGAGTTAATAAAAACATTAGTCAGAGGGCAGAAGAGGGGTTGTTGAGGTGGTTTGGTCATTTAGAGAGAATGGATCAAAGTAGAATGACATGGAAATCATATAAATCTATAGGGGAAGGAAAGAGGGGTAGGGTCGTCTTCGAAAGGGTTGGAAAGAGGGGGGTAAAGGAGGTTTTGGGGGTTAGGGGCTTGGACTTCCAGCAAGCATGCATGAGCGTGTTAGATAGGAGTGAATGGAGACGAATGATACTTGGGACCTGACGATCTGTTGGAGTGTGAGCAGGGTAATATTTAGTGAAGGGATTCAGGGAAACCGGTTATTTTCATATAGTCGGACTTGAGTCCTGGAAGTGGGAAGTACAATGCCTGCACTTTAAAGGAGTGGTTTGGGATATTGGCAGTTTGGAGGGATATGTTTGTGTATCTCTATACGTATATGCTTCTAAACTGTTGTATTCTGAGCACCTCTGCAAAAGCAGTGATAATGTGTGAGTGTGGTGAAAGTGTTGAATGATGATGAAAGTATTTTCTTTTTGGGGATTTTCTTTCTTTTTTTTTTTTGGGTCACCCTGCCTCGGTGGGAGACGGCCGACTTGTTGAAAAAAAAATAATTGATTAGATTAGGGGTTCCCAACCTGGGGTGCATGCACCCCCAGGGGATGTGTGGTGACATTTCAGCTTACTTTTTTGAGTTCAGTAAGTTCACCCGCAGTACTGTACAGCTTCTCCTCACTTTACAATGGAGTTCCATTCCTAAGACCACGTCGTTAAACGAATTCACCGCTAAGTCAGGAGCACACTATAATGGTAGTAGGTTTGTGTCAACCATCTTTGATATTGTTTTAATGTCACCTTTACACCATTTATAACATTTCTGGTATATTTTTAAATGTTTATACAGTAGTGTACTGTATACGTATTGTAATAAACAGAATAGAGGAAATCAGCTCTAACATGTATCATTTAGGTGTGCATACTGGTCAGAGAGCCCGTTGTAAGTCCTGGGCGTCGGTAAACGAGCACGTCGCTAAGTGAGGAGAGGCTATATTTGGTTCAATTTGACTTACAAAATTAGAAATTTGACTTTATCTTCAAATGTGATATTACTTTTGTAGGTGGTGCAACATTCATTTATCTTTTTTTTTCCTATGGGTGCAGAACATAAAAAAAGGTTGGGAATCCCTGGATTAGATTAGAGTGGGGAGGTATCGGCTGAATACATTAGTTGTATGTATAAAATGTGACTGATAGTGTAAATGTTTGTCAGTGATATTTTTTAAAATGGTTTTGAAGGAATTGGATCAATTTTTTTTTTAATCCTTCACGTAGGTTGCATCATATTGTGGACAATTTGATTTGTATGGATGATTCAACTCTCATTGATTCATACGTGGGGAATGTTGGAGGTATATATTGTGATGTCCCTGTAATCTATTGCAGCTCTCCAGGAATTGTTGACTCATGGTTAATAATTTTATTGCATGGTCTGTATTTGTAATGTAGATAAGACACTTGTAGAACACTTTCAAATATTTATTGTGGAAACATTTTGCCAGCCATTGGCTTCTTCAGTCCACTGTTTCTCTGCCTTGTACTGAAGAAGTCACTGGCTAGCAAAATATTTCCACAAAGATTTGCAAGTGTTGCAAAAGTGCGGATACTTGGTACTTCCAGGAGGTTCAGCACTTTGAATGTTAAGAGGGAAGGTGGTGGGTGTACTGTTTGGAATCAGGTTAAGTGATTGCTCCCAAGGCAGATTTTTATTGGATTGTGTGTTGGTTTTATATGATTTGTTATTGTAGTTCCCCTTGCACATATGGTGTACCAAAGATGAGGTAAAGGTTGATTATAGTAGTACAGAGTAAGTAGTGTTAACTGTGGTACATAATGTATTCTGGAAAGAGTGCCCACTGTTTTGGAAACTTTTTTTTAGTTATGTGTTATTTTGTTTAAGTTTATTTGCTGTCAGATTAGAGCCAAGAATTTTTCTTCAGCTTGTCTTTTTAAATATCTAAGTACTAGTAGGTTGGTAGACAGCAGCCCCCCAGGGAGGTACTAACATCCTGCTTAGTGAGTGAAAACGAAAGCCTGTAATTGTTTTACATGATGGTAGGATTGCTGGTGCTTTTTTTCTTTCTCATAAACATGCAAGATTTCAGGTATGTCTTCTTATGTACATCTACTTAAACTTTGGTCACACTACACATGCATGTACAAGCATATATATACACGCACACCTCTGGGTTTTCTTCTCTCTCCTTATTAGTTCTTGTTCTTATTTCCTCTTATCTCCACGAGGAAGTGGAACAGAATTCTTTCTCCGTAAGCCATGCGTGTCATAAGAGTCAACTAAAATGATGGGAGCAAGGGGCTAGTAACCCCTTCTCCTGTATACATTATTAAAGTTAAAAAGACAAACTTTCGTTTTTCTTTTTAGGCCACCTTACCTCGGTGGGAAACGGCCGATTTGTTGAAAGAAGAATTCTTTAAATGTGTGTGTTATTGAACTTCATGTCTAGTTGCATATTGTTAGCTCAGTTCCCTAACATTATATAGCAAGTCTTATCAGTGTGTGTTATTTTGTCAAACCCAGTCTATACCCTTTTTAGTTCAACATTGGCTGTGTTGAGGTCAACAATGTTCTTCATCTAGAGTTAGTAGAAGTGGTAGCTCAGATAGTTTCTGGTTGTCAACGACTTTATGTTAAGGTATAGTTTCAACAGTGATGTATGCCATTGTACATTTTCTCAAGGACTGGTGAAAGTCTTTTGGTCCAAGGATTTTGAACTACTCTCCCCTTCCTCTGTTCAAACTTGATTACCTCCCATTCTGCAGGTCCTGTATGGTCCTCATGGGTTTAGTGCTTCCCCATGAATATAACAATTGATTGCATAAATCAAGAAGCTTGGACACAGTGAGTTCTACTCTTGTACTTAAAAATCGTTTTTTGTTTCAGAATGCATCTTTCAGACATCATAGTTTAAACTAGGAACTTTGTACGAGTTATACAGGCTACTTTAGACGATGACTGATGTCTGCTTAAGGTCATAAATTTAAGGTCGCAAAAATTTCTAAGCTGTAAAACTTAGTTACCCATATGATTGGTAAATTTTGACCAAATAAGGTCTCCCTTTTGTCAATATAATTTTTGTCTTGCCAGGAGGTGTCACTAGAGGAGGAACCAGATGGGGTATTGTTTGACAGTGCCTCCACACCTAAGTTACAGCTTAACCAGGTTTGTAAAGATGATCCTTCCACTCTTGCTCAGTGTTCTCTTTACACCCCCTCTGGAGTTTACAAATTATCTGAAGTATGGAAAAAACAATTAGATATGTATAGATATACAAATGCAGACAGGCAGTCATAGCAATGCAAGACAAGACATGGGGGATGGAAATCTTCAGCTCAGTTACTTTCACAAGTCTCCATGCATCATCAGGAGCTATACAATGTTGCAAGAGTAGCAATAAGAAGAATGAGGGAAAGTTTTCTCATAGTAGGGTGACAACAGCCAGCTGGCTGTTGTCACCACACTACCTTATTCTGAAAACTTTCAATCATTCCTCATGTTACTACTCTTGCAACATTACATAGCTCCTCATGATGCATGGAGACTTGTGAAAGTAACTGAGCTGAAGATTTCCACCCCTCATGGCTTGTCTTGCATTGTATAGATAAATATATAGGTGGGTGATATGCTGAAGGTCAGTATAGTGGAACCTCGGTTTTCATATGCTCTGGTTTGTATGTAAAACTTTAGTTATTCTCTATAAAATGTATTTTTTGTTAATATTTTTGAGTGTCTGGAATGAATTAATTGGATTTACATTATTTCTCATGGGAAATATTGCTTCAGTTTTCATGCGATTCGGGTTTTCGTCAGACTTTTTTTTGAACAGATTAATCACAAAAACCGAGATTCCACTGTAATAGAATTAATGCTTATTAAAAGAGGAGCTTTAATCAGTGCATTTAAGTTAATTTTTTTGTTTGAAAGATATCCCCCCCCCCTAAAAAAAAAAAGTTATTGGGAAGTCAGTTGTGTCCAACATTTTATAAAACGTGTACAATCAGACACCAGGATGAATTGGAAAATGTTTGTCCTGGGACATTGAAGAAGGTCGTGTATATTTTTTAAAAAACTTATCAGTATACAGTGGACCCCCGCTTAACAATCACCTCCTAATGTGACCAATTATGTAAGTATATTTATATAAGTGCGTTTGTACGTGTATGTTTGGGGGTCTGAAATGGACTAATCTACTTCACAATATTCCTTATGGGAACAAATTCGGTCAGTACTGGCACCTGAACATACTTCTGGAATGAAAAAATATCGTTAATCGGGGGTCCACTGTATATTACCCAGGTTTATGCCATAAGTGTTTACTAGGCAGCTGGTGAGTTGCTCTTCTTCCCTCCCACACCCACTTTCCTGTAACCACAAACTTCTGCTGAACACACTTAACACTACATTCTTAAATAGAACCCAGATCTCTTCAACCTCATTGCCTATACTCTTACTAGCTCATGTTTCTTCCAATACTTGTTTATATCTTACCCTAACTGCCTCTTCCTTTAGTTTATAAACTTCACCTCTCTCTCACTTGCTGATTCCATTCTCCTTGTATCTCATCTTACCTTACCAAGAATGGGTATAATTGAAAACTGCTGTATTAGCGAAACACTGTAAAGTGAAGTGCTGTAAAGCAGGGCCTGCATGAAATGAGAAATGGAAAGTTCAGAGACTTTTGAAATTCAGGAGGTGATGTGTGAAGGAGGTCATGCTGAGAGGATAGCATGTGGAAAGGTATCCTGGACTGTTATCAAGGTGTGATTTGAAAGAAGAGGAAATACAAGCCACTGGTTAGAGGAGGTGAAAGCAAGGTCAAGTCAGGTGGGGTGAAAGTCAAAGGGTGGGGTCAGGTGGGGTGAAAAACAGTCGGGTCATGTCATGTAACTTGTGTTCTTAGAAATTAGAGCAACATCGCCCAGTGAAAAGCAGGGGTGCCATGAGCACACTTAGAGAAACACAGTTACTGTCTGGGTCCTAAGACTCTTCAACAGCCTCACACAATTCATAAGGGGAATTAAGAATAGACCCCTGGTTGCCTTCAGGAGGGAACCGGACAGTTAGTACCTAATCAGCTAGGCTGTGGTTCGTACGTTAGATTGCGTGTGGCCAGCAGTAACAGCCTGGTGGATCATGCCTGGTCAAGGACTGGCCACGGGGACATCGACCCTCGGAACAATCTCCAGGATAACTGGGAAAGGCAAGAATTGACAGAAATAAAGTTGGGACTGAAATAGTCTTAACTTTCCTCATCAAATTGTTGGTTATTTGTGAATTGTCCAAGCCACAGTACTTTTCTTTTTTCCAGCAGTTTCCTACGTGAGCTTAGGATTTCTATGGGTGACTGAAATATAGTGTATGAGGTGCTATCAAAAAGTTCCCGGAATCAAATTTCCGTATGCTTCCTGACTGAAATAGTATAGTAGTGCTGCAGATCATGCTGTACAGTACACTCCTGTGTGATGTAGCATGGTGAGTTTGTGTGGGCTGTCATTCCAATAAGGTTAGACTATCTTTATAATGTCAGTGTGTTGCCACTTTTTTGCACAGCAGAATGGAATCTTTGAAAGAACAGTGTGTTTGTGTGTGAAATTCTGTTTCAAGCTCGGTAAAACAGGTAGCAAAACTTGCAAAAATCTTCAAGCATTATGGGATGAGGGAAAGGGTCAAACACAGTGTTTTGAATGGTTTTCTTGATTCAAAGCAGGACAAATGTCAGAGGATGAACACACTGGTCATCCATCAATATTAAAAACAAATGCCAAAATTGAAAAAGTGTGGAAGTTGATTCAAGAAGATTCTTGTCAAAGTATCCAAGACAATGTGATTGCTGTGGGAATTTTTTTACAATTCATGTCAAAGCATTTTGACTGAAAATTTGAACATGAGGCAAGTAGCTGTGAAAATTCTCCGCTGCTTGACTCTGGACCAACGTTTTCTGGCCAAAAACATGGTCTTTCCCCACACTTCCTACTTCACAAATTAGCCCCCTGTGACTTCTTTCTCTTCCCCAAAATAAAAATGGCACTCAAGAGGGCAGTGTTTTAACAATGTGAAGGAAATTCAAGCAAAAATCATAGGCCATGCTTTATGATGGTAAGAAAGGTTCCAGAAATGTTTAGAGAAGTGGCAGAGGCACTGGGATCAGTGTATAGCCTTTCAAGGAGAGTACTTCCAGGGAGACGACTGTGCATTTTTTTCATGGCAGTCCAGGAACTTCTTTATTATATCTTGTCTATAATAGGATAAAGGAAGACTACTGTAATAAATCTGATGTTACTTTGCTTTGCAGTGGAGGAATTATACATAATTGTAATTACTAGCTACACCATATAAAAATGTTGTGTTAAGGGTCACAGTATCTTAATACATTTCCTACAGGATCCTACTGAGCACTCATTGCCAGCCTCCAGTATTTTGCCACCTGTGGGTGCTCCATTAACCCCTCCAGTGGTTCCAGTCACACCAACAACCACACCAAATCTTACTCCAAGCATTACTCCGGCAGCTCCTACTCCTGTAACACCAGTGACTGTGTCCTCCAGACCATCATCTGATCAGGTAATAATTCTGCAGATTCACAAACTAGTTATTATGGTATTCAGTTTTGTGAGACTTGCTTGCCTCTACTTCCACAACAGGGTTGGTTTTAGGTAAACCATCTCACGCTTATAAATTCAGTGTCTTACGTCTATTCACCAGTCTAGGGATTTGGTAAATAAAAAATGTAAAATGCACCTATATTTAATCAGCAGTCATCGAGAAAGCACGTGTGAATGTGTTAGGTAGGAGTGAGTAGAGACAAGTGGTTTTTATGAAATGATGTGCTGTTGGAGTGTGAGCAAAGTAACATTTATGAAAGGATTCAGGAAAATTGGTTAGCCAGATTTGAGTCGTGGAGGTGGGAAGTACAGTACCTGCACTCTGAAAGAGGGGTGGGGATGTTTGATGTTTTGAACTGTAGTATTGGTGCCCCCTCTGGCAAGACAGTGATGGAGTGTGATGGTGAACATGTCTCTTCTTTTTTTAGGTCACCCTACCTGGTTACAAATTTGTCCTGTATGTCAAGTGTAAGCTACTCAACATACATATTATAATTTTTCCAAGTCCAACATTGGACTAATAATATAAAAGATATTATTCTTTCACTGAGGCAGGGTGACCCAGAAAGAAAAACAAAAGTTTCTCCTTTTAACTTTAGTAATGTATACAGGAGAAGGGGTTACTAGCCCCTTGCTCCTGGCATTTTAGTTGCCTCTTACGACACGCATGGCTTACGGAGGAAGAATTCTGTTCCACTTCCCCATGGAGATAAGAAGAAGTAAACAAGAACAAGAACTAGTAAGAAAATAAAAGAGAACCCAGAGGGGTGTGTGTATATATATGCTTGTTGATAAATTAGACACATGTGCAACTCTTGGGTATCTTTATTAAGGAAACGTTTCACCACACAGTGGCTTCATCAGTCCATAAACAGGAAAAACTTGAACAGTAGGAGAATGAGGTAATCAGTCCCTCAACCTTGAGCCGATGTGGTCAGTCCATCAATCTTGAATAGAATACGGCATATGAGCGGAGAAGCAGCTTATAAACCGTAGGCAGGAGAGGTGCAGCAGTCGTTGGTGGTGTCACATTGGCCCAGTGTGGAAGTAGGTCGTGCCCAAGGGTTAGGCAAGCGAAGAATTCCCGAGTATTAAGATCCCAAGAAGTTGCAGTGTCTGACAGGATTGTAGATGAATGGTTCACAGAACCGACACGGTTTATAAGCTGCTTCTCCGCTCATATGCCGTATTCTGTTCAAGATTGATGGACTGACCACATCGACTCAAGGTTGAGGGACTGATTACCTCATTCTCCTCCTGTTCTTCAAGTTTCTCCTGTGTATGGACTGATGAAGCCACTGTATGGCAAAACGTTTCCTTAATAAAGATACCCAAGAGTTGCACATGTGTCTAATTTATCAATGTGTCGGTTCTGTGAACCAGCAAGACATGTACAGTGGAACCTAAAATTTCGAACATATCACTTATCAAACTCTTCGAAAATCGACTGCTTTTTTCGAACCAACTTTGTCCCTATTATCGAACTCGCCCCTATTTTTGAACCACCGGGTACCGGACCTGTCGGCCAGCCCACTCTGTCTGTGTCCCCGCGTAGGCGCCTTGAGCCAGTTTGGCTTTGTTGATGCTTGAGTGAACACTAACCTGTGCTCTCATTCAAACAGTTTACGATTAATTCATTGTGTTTAGTGCTTGTGGGACTGTGAAATAAGGTACCATGGGCCCAAAGAAACTTGCTAGTGGTACCCCTGTGGTAAAGAAAGTGAGAAACACCATAGATGTGAAGAAGGAAATAATACAGAAGTATGAGAATGGTGTGAAACTTGTTGAGCTTGCCAGGACGTATGGGAAAAACAAGTCGACCATCACTTCTATCCTGGTAAAGAAAGAACAAATCAAGGAAGCTGATGTTACAAAAGGTGTTAATATGCTAACCAAAAAAAGATCACAGACAGTTGATCAGGTTGAGTTGCTGTTGCTGGTGTGGATCAAGGATAAAGAGATGGCAGGTGATAGTGTTTCAGAGATGATTTTATGTGAAAAGTTCAGTGACAAAACCATGTCCCATTTTAGAGAAATCTTAGAGGTGCCAGAAACAGAGGACTGTGGACAGTTACTTTGTAAGACAGGGGTCCAGTGACTGAAGCTGGTCCTAGTGGCATTAAAAGACAGAGAAGGGAAGTAACCCCAGAGAGGGCTTTGATACCTAAAGTCCTTATGGAGGGGGATTTCCCTTCCAAACACTAACCCCAACTCCCTCTCTCCTCCTTATCTTCCAGATGCCATCACCAATCTTCAATAAAGGCAAGTAAAAATGTTACTTTATATGTTTATTTAAATTTATTAATACATAATTGTACATCATATTGTGTGCATGTAAAACTATAATTAATCTCTATAAAATGTATTTTTTTGTGAATATTTTTGGGTTTCTGGAATGGATTAATTGTATTTCTATTATTTCTTAAGGGAAATATTGCTTCACTCTTCAGATTTTTCAAATTTAGAACTAGCTCCTGGAACGGATTAAGTTCGAAATTTGAGGTTCCACTGTATCACAAAAAATCTTAAGACTCACGCAAGTAGCAAGATGTGCAACTTGCTAGGGAATGACCCCAGATACAGTGCATATATGTGCAGATTTCATCTAGTCAAAGACAGACCATAAAATAGTGTGTGGACACATACAAGACCAATAGAGATGAAGTCCACTCGATTGTTAGATAGGTAGAGTCCACAAAGTGGGCAAATGCTAATTCCACTTCTTGCTTAGTATGCAGACAATGAAGAAATGCAGAAATAATCCACTATACTAAACAGGTAAAGTCTAGAATTGCCCAAATGAATCAGTCCTAAGACAGTATATTCCACTTAAGCATACAGTCTCACGTCCACACAAAACGGGTGCATTAAAAGTCTAGTCCCAAACTGCTCCTTAGTGACTACATCTCAAGAGTTAAAAAAGCTTTGGCTTAGCTCATGGGCATCTTCCACTACTCACTAGTATGGTACTATAAATACAATTTAAGCCCATCATATGATTTTATGAAAATACTAAATATGGAGAAAGTAGTATGGATTAGTACAACAAAGGGCTAGGGACATTATTGCATACACAAATAACCCGCACATAAGAGAGAGAAGCTTACGACGACGTTTCGGTCCGACTTGGACCATTGACAAAGTCAATATCTCTTGTTACAATAACTGTCCTAGCCTTAAACATTAATAATTCAATATGAAACAGACAAAAGTCATGTAATGTACAGATGTATGTTAAAAGTTTATAGCAGAACATTGTTTACTCAAATTAATACGAAGAGATCCCCAAATTATGAAGGAGATGCTCTCCCAAAAGTTAACAACTTGAGTGTTTGAATCTATTCCTCCCCCTCCCATTCTCTAGATTTGTTATAATCAGAGATGTGTTCCCAAACTATAATATTCTGTATCTGACTTTAATGGCAAATTATATAAAAACAACAGTATTGTGCTGTGGCCATAAATTTGTTGTAAATGCTGTTTAAGGGTAAATATAATACTACCCTCTGCTCCTTATTTAAATTGCCATATGCAATGCCAAGTTGCCTTGGATACCCTGAAAGAAGTAAGAATAAACCTGAAGATACTGTAGCCTTGAATCTCAAACTGTTGAGTAGACTAAACAAATACAGGAAGGCCCCACTTATACGGCGGGTTAGGTTCCAGGCTACCGCCGTAAAGCGGAAATCGCCGTAAAGTGGAACACCCTTTTTTTCCACTTATAAATGCATACAAACACTAGATAACAAGTTTACACTAACATATATTAAGTTAGCAATAGAACCAGGCATGAAAAAACAATAAAAAGGTACAATACACACATAGTGCACTCATTACTTACCTTAAAATATTTATAGTCTTAATCTAGGGTGAGACAAGTAGTATTTATTGTAAGAAATCAAGTGTGTTATGTATGGTAGTCAGCCAGGCTACCATACCAGGCCACCCCACCCACACATACTATTCTAATGATATTAAGCATCCCAGAGCGATAAAATGTATATACAGTTCACTCATTACTTACCTTAAAATATTTGTAGTCTTAATGTAGGGTCAGGAGTAAGTAAATGAGATAAAACGAATAAATGAGAGAGAGAAAGAATGTTTACATGAGAGGGGGCAGGCGCAGTTATGTAAACAAACCAGGGGAAGGTAAGTTTTGTAAACAAACGAAATGTACACGTCTGGTTTGTGTACAAGTACATTGTGTACAGGTTGTCTCTACATTGATACGGTAGAATTAATAAAGAAGAACACTCCCATTCTCATGTAACATCATTTTTGAGAAGAAATGAAGCTCTGATGAAGGCAATGGAAATAAGTCACACTGACTTTTTTGGTTATCCTAGGTTCTCTACACGTATGTTGTTATGTATGATAATCTATGTAACTGTATTTGTGATACCTGAATAAACTTACTTACATACATACGAAAGGAATAATTTTCTACAGTTACCCCCAGTAACACATTTACTCTTAGTTAGATTAGAGAAAATGTTATTCTTGCCGTCACTTGTACAAGTTATGTGGCTCCCACATCTTATATTTATGTTTATTTATTCTATTGTGGGGTGTATTTATCATCTTTTTATGTTATGTATCGTGTTTATTATATAATTTTGAAAAAAATATCATGGATGGATTAATGAAAATGTGTATATTACCGTAATATACACATTTAATGAGACTCGTATTGTTATTATCACCACTTGTGCAAGTCGTCTGCTACGACATCTCACATTTGTTTATTTATTCTACTGTGGGTGTATTATCTTATTATATGTTATGCATCGTGTTTATTATATAATTTTGAAAAAAATATCATGGATGGATTAATGAAAATGTGTATATTACCGTAATATACGACATTTAATGAGACTCAGTATTGTTATTATCACCACTTGTGCAAGTCGTCTGCTCACATCCACATTTGTTTATTTATTCTACTGTGGGGTGTATTTATCTTATTTATATGTTATGCATCGTGTTTATTATATAATTTTGAAAAAAATATCATGGATGGATTAATGAAAATGTGTAAATTAACGTAATATACGACATTTAAATGACTCGATGTATGTAAGTTTATTTAGGTACAGGTATACATAAGTATAATTATCAGAGTATATATAAAATATGAAATAACTTTTAAAAACATTTGAAATTTTGGAGTTTCCAGACAAAATGGAGAGACTTAGTGCTTACTGAGCTCATGGAGAATGTAAACAAACAGGGTGGGGCACGGTGACCGTATTAGAAAGTCAGGTGGGGGGAGCCGTATAGTGAGTTTTGGTCATAATTTGAAATGTCCGTATTAGCGGAACGCCGTAAAGCGGAACGCCGTAAAGCGGGGCCCTCCTGTAAGCAAATTTATTTTTATAAAGTGAAGTATTAGGTAGTAGGTTGGTAGACAGCAACCGCCCAGGGAGGTACTACCGTCCTGCCAAGTGAGTGTAAAACGAAAGCCTTTAATTGTTTTACATGATGGTAGGATTGCTGATGTCCTTTTTTTCTGTCTCATAAACATGCAAGATTTCAGGTACGTCTTGCTACTTCTTACACTTAGGTCACACTACACATACATATACAAGCATATATATACACACCCCTCTGGGTTTTCTGCTATTTTCTTTCTAGTTCTTGTTTATTTCCTCTTATCTCCATTGGGAAGTGGAACAGAATTCTTCCTCCGTAAGTCATGCATGTTGTAAGAGGCGACTAAAATGCCGGGGGCAAGGAGCTAGTAACCCCATCTCTTATATAAATTACTAAATTTAAAAAGAGAAACTTTCGTTTTTCTTTTTGGGCCACCCTGTCTGGGTGGGATACGGCCGGTTTGTTGAAAAAAAAAGTTTGAACAAGTCGGCCGTCTCCCACCAAGGCAGGGTGACCCAAAAAGAAAGAAAATCCCCAAAAAGAAAATACTTTCATCATTCAACACTTTGACCTCACTCAGACATAATCACTGTTTTTGCAGAGGTGCTCAGAACACAACAGTTTAGAAGCATATACGTAAAAAGATACACAATATATCCCTCCAAACTGCCAATATCCCGAACCCCTCCTTTAGAGTGCAGGCATTGTACTTCCCATTTCTAGGACTCAAGTCCGGCTATATAAAAATAACCGGTTTCCCTGAATCCCTTCACTAAATATTACCCTATTCATACTTCAACAGATCGTCAGGTCCCAAATACCATTCGTCTCCATTCACTCCTATCGAACACGCTCGTGCACGCCTGCTTACCCCCTCCCTCCAACCTTTTCGAGGATGACCTCTACTCTGCCTTCCTTCCCCTACAGATTTATATGCTCTCCATGTCATTCTACTTTGATCCATTCTCTCTAAATGACCAAACCACCTAAACAACCCCTCTTCAGCACTCTGTATAGTAATTTAACCCTTAAATGGTCCAAAGAGATTGACGTTCAAATTCGTAGTGCTACAAAAGTAGATCTACTTTTTTTTACATATTTTCAAATATAACAAAAAAAAATGTAGATAAAAGTTTTTTTTTACACGTTTTCAAATGTAAAACAAAAAAGATCTACATTTTTTTTACATACTTTCGGATGTTGAAAAAACGTATATATACGTTTGGACCATTTAAGGGTTAATAACTCAACTCCTCCTAATTTCCGCACTGTGAGTTCTCTGCATAATATTTACGCCACACATTGCCTTCCCTTAGACAGGATATCTCCACTGCCTCCAGCTGCCTCCTTGCTGCAGCATTTATAACCCAAGCTCCATACCCATAAAAGAATGTTTGTACCACTATACCTCTCGTACATTCCCTTCTTATCCTCCATGGATAATGTTTTTGTCTCCAGATACCTCACTGCACAACTTGCCTTTTTTCCTTCATCAGTTCAGTGGTTAACCTCATCCTTCATAAACCCATCCGCTGACAAGTCAACTCCCAAATATCTGAAAACATTTACTTCTTCCATACTCCCTCACTCCAATGTGATGTCCAATTTTTCTTTATCCAAATCGTTTGATACCCTCATCACCTTACTCTTATCTATGTTCACTTTCAACTTTCTACCTTTACACACACTCCCAAACTCGTCCAGTAACCTTTGCAACTTTTGTTTTAGAATACCCCAAAAGCACAGTATCAGCAGCAAAAATTAACTATCAACTCCCTTTTTGTATTTGATTCCCCCATAATTTACTCTCACCCCTCCCCCCAACACCCTAGCATTTACTTCTTGTACAACCCCATCTATAACTATGTTAAACAACTATGGTGACATTACACATCCATGTCTAAGACCTACTTTTACTGGGAAGTAGTCTCCCTCTCTTCTACACACCTTAACCTGAGCCTCACTATCCTCATAAAAACACTCTACAGCATTTAGTAGCTTACTGTTCTGTACACTTTAAATGTCTGTCACATTGCTCCCCTATCCACCCTATCATATGCCTTTTCTAAACTCATAAATGCAATGAAAACTTCCCTACCTTTATCTAAATACTGTTCACATATATGATTCAAAGTAAACACTTGATCTTCACATCCCCCTACCCATTCTAAAGCCTCATTGCTCATCTGCAATCCTGCTCTCTGTCTTACCTATCATTCTTTCAATAATAACCCTACCATACACATTACCTGGTATACTCAGTAAACTTATTTCCCAATAATTTTTACAACCTCTTTTGTCTCCCTTCCCTTTGTATAAAGGAACTATACATGCTCTCAGACAATCCTTAGGTACCTTCCCCTCTTTCATACATTTATTAAACAAAAATGCCAACCCCTACATCACTATATCCCCACTCCTTTTAACATTTGTCTTAATCCTCTCAGTTCCAGCTGCTTTACCCCCTTTCATTCTATGTAATGCCTCTTGCACCTCCCCACACTTGCATCCTTCTCTTCTTCATTCCTAAAAGATGTTATACCTCCCTGGCCAGTGCATGAAATTACTGCCTCCCTGTCTTCATCGACATTTAAAAATTCCTCAGTATTCCCGCCATCTACCCTATACCTCCAGCTCCCCATCTACTAGCTCCCCTACTCTGTTTTTAACTGACAAATCCATTCGTTCCAGCAAAATTTCTTGACAGTGCCCTTCCCACACTCTATCATTTGCTCTCCTTTTGCACTCTAACCACTCTCTTCACCTTTTTCATGCTCCATATACTCTGCCCTTCTTATATCACTTTTGCTTTATAAAAACCTCTCATAAGTTAACTTTTTCTTTTATCACACCCTTTACCTCATCATTCCACCGGTCACACTTCTTTCCTCCTGCACCCACCTTCCTGCAGCCATAAACTTCTGCCTCACATTCTAATACTGCATTTTTAAAGCTCCCTCTTCACAACCTGGCCCTCTATCCCCAACCACTACCCATACTTGCACAAACTCACCTTTCTGCCAATAGTTGCTTATCTCACTCTAACTTCCTCCTCCCTTAGGTTGTAAACTTTCACCTCTCTCTTACTTTTTGCCATTTTCCTTTTGTCCCATCTACTTAATCTAACTGTAAAAAGAAAAACTGTCATCATCGTTCACTCCATCACTGTCTTGCCAGAGACGTGCTTACACTACAGTTATAAAACTGCAACATTAACACTGATATATCTGTTGTCTCTATAAACATGTACATCCTGAAGCCTACCCATCAACCTTTTATCCACCAATACATAATCTAACAACCTGCTTTCATTACGTGCTGTATCATATCTTGTATACTTATTTATACATTGATACATCATACTTAATTAAATATCAATATCTAACTAGAGTTTAGGCCACATATACAGTACATGTAGTAGGTACAGTGGTACCCATAGTTTCGTACAGCTCCCAACTCAAACAGTTATGTAAGTGTATTACTGTAAGTGCTTTTGTAAGAGTGTTTTTGGGGGTCTGAAACGGACTAATCTAATTTACATCATTCCTCATGGGAACAAATTTGTTTGCGTAACGGCACTCAAACAGCCTTCTAGAACGAATTATGGCCTAAACTTGGGCTACCATTGTACTTCTTAACTATATTTTTGAAGCATGTGGCTCTAGGGTGACTTTTTATATCTTTTGGAAGGAGTTCCAAATTTTAGGGTCCTTTATTTGCATGGATTTTCTTCGTATGTGTCGAGTTGAACACATGGTATATCAGAAACTTGACCTATTTTCTGGCATATAAGGTGCCCCTTTTCCCACAAAAAATCTTGGAAAATCATCCTGTGCTTTATATACTTAAGGTCAGGGTCAAGGGTAGGCTTTGTGTTACACTTTAACATAAAATAAGAGGGTCATTAACCCTTGAATGTGATTACTGATTTACAGTTGTGCGCCTTACATGCCAGAATATACTGTTTTGTGTATGGTCTGTATTCTGCTGCAGCTCAATGAAGAGTCGGAGCACTGGGTTGAAGGTCATTCCAAGTGTCTTGTATATATATATAGAATGCACTGTGTGCTTTAATATTTACATTTCTAGTGGAATCTGTGGGAACTAATCGCATCATTCTGATGAACTTTTCAGCAATCTACGAAGATATAAAACTCCACAGCCTCCCTCGGATCATTGTTTTCTTGTAATCTCTGCTGGAATGATATAATTATCAAATGGTAACTTTAGTGTTCTTTTCATTTCAGTTGGAAAGTGAGAGTGGTGATGATATGATACAAATCACAGTATCTGATCCTCAAAAAATTGGTGAAGGAATGAGCTCTTACATGGCATACAAGGTCACTACCAAGACCAATATTTCATACTTTAGGTGAGTCTTAGCACTAATGATTTAGTTTTAGTTTTTTTTTTTTTTATTGTTACTAACATATCAGGCATTTCCTACTGAGGCAGGGGGACTCCAATAAAGAAGAAACAATCATCATCACTCCATCACTGTCTTGCCAGAGGTATGCTGATATTACAGTTAAAAAACTGCATCATATCTCCAGCCCTCCTTCAGAATGCAGGCACTGTACTTAATCTTATTATTCCTACTTACACTAAGGTTACACTACACTTGCATGTACAAGCATATATATACACACCCCTCTTGGTTTTCTTCTATATTCTTACTAGTTCTTGTTCTTATTTTATCTTATCGCCATGGGGAAGTGGAACAGTTCTTCCTCTGTAAGCAATGTGTGTCGTAAGAGTCAACTAATGTGCTGGGAGCAAGGGGCTAGTACCCCCTTCTTCTTCTCTACAATTTTTTTTTTTTTTTTTAAACAAGTTGGCCGTCTCCCACTGAGGCAGAGTGACCCAAAAAAGAAAGAAAATCCCCAAAAACAAAATACTTTCATCATCATTCAACACTTTCACCTCACTCACACATAATCACAGTTTTTGCAGAGGTGCTCAGAACACAACAGCTTAGAAGCATATACCTATAAAGATACACAAACATATCCCTCCAAACTGCTAATATCCCGAACCCCTCCTTTATAGTGCAGGCATTGTACTTCCCATTTCCAGGACTCAAGTCCAGTTATATAGAAATAACCGTTTTCCCTGAATCCTTCACTAAATATTACCCTGCTCACACTCCAACAGATCGTCAGGTCCCAAATACCATTCGTCTCCATTCACTCCTATCTAACACACTCGTGCACGCTTGCTGGAAGTCCAAGCCCCTCGCCCACAAAACCTCCTTTACCCCCTCCCTCCAACCTTTTCGAGGATGACCCCTATCCCGCCTTCCTTCCCCTACAGATTTATACGCTCTCCATGTCATTCAGCTTTGATCCATTCTCTCTAAATGACCAAACCACCTCAACAACCCCTCTGCAGCCCTCTGACTAATACTTTTATTAATTCCACACCTTCTCCTAATTTCCACACTCCGAATTTTCTGCATAATATTTACACCACACATTGCCCTTAGACAGGACATCTCCACTGCCTCCAACCGCCTCCTCGCTGCTGCATTCACAACCCAAGCTTCACACCCATATAAGAGTGTTGGTACTACTATACTTTCATACATTCCTTTCTTTGCCTCCATAGATAGCATTTTTTTTGTCTCCACATATACCTCAATGCACCACTCACCTTTTTTCCCTCATCAATTCTGTGATTAACCTCATCCTTCATAAATTCATCCGCCAACATGTCAACTCTCAAGTATCTGAAAACATTCACTTCTTCTATACTCCTCCTCCCCAATTTGATATCCAATTTTTCATAATCTAAATCATTTGATACCCTCGTCACCTTACTCTTTTCTATGTTCACTTTCAACTTTCTACCTTTACACACACTCCCAAACTCATCCACTAACCTTTGCAATTTTTCTTTAGAATCTCCCATGAGCACAGCATCAGCAAAAAGAAGCTGTGTCAATTCCCATTTTGTAGTTGATTCCCCATAATTTAATGCCACCCCTCTCCCGAACACCCTAGCATTTACTTCTTTTACAATTCCATCTATAAATATATTAAACAACCATGGTGACATTACACATCCCTGTCTAAGACCTACTTTTACTGGGAATTAGTCTCCTTCTACACACCCTAACCTGAGCCTCACTATCCTCATAAAAACTCTACAGCATTTAGTAACTTACCACCTATTCCATATACTTGCAACATCTGCCACATAGCTCCCCTATCCACTCTTATGCCTTTTCTAAATCCATAAATGCAATAAAAACTTCTCTACCTTTATCTAAATACTGTTCACATATATGCCTTAATGTAAACACTTGATCTACACATCCTCTACCCACTCTGAAACCTCCTTGCTCATCTGCAATCCTACATTCTGTCTTACCTCTAATTCTTTCAATTATAACCCTACCGTACACTACCTGGTATACTCGGTAAGCTTATTCCTCTATAATTTTTACAATCTCTTTTGTCTCCCTTCCTTTTACATAAAGGGACTATACATGCTATCTGCCAATCCCTAGGTACCTTCCCCTCTTTCATACATTCATTAAACAAAAGTACCAACCACTCCAACACTATATCCTCCCCTGCTTTTAACCCTTTGACTGTTTCAGGCCCCTCTCTGAAACTGTCATTCTATGTCGCTCAATTTTTGAAAAAAAAAATAATAATTTTTTCTTATGAAATGATAGAGAATCTTTTCCCGATGGTAATGACACCAAAAGTTCGAAATTTGGTCGAAAACTCGTGGAATTATGGTCCCGCGAAGTTAGCGGTCTCGGCGACATATGCGTATCGGCGATTTCGCCGACTTTGAGCCCAATTTTCAGCCAATTCCATTGTTCCAGTTGACCAAACTCATAGCTATTTCTTTAGAACTCCATTTTATCTATCAGCTGAGTACAAGAAACCTCCCATTTACTAATTTGGACTACCCAATATGGTCGTCAGAAATTGGCAATTTGGCCAATTTCACGCAAATAAAAAAGATGCCAATTTCAAAATAGGGTCCAGAATAAACAAGGTAGACATTCGTGGCACTAAAATAACATATGCTCTGTTCATTAGTCACATCTCTAGCCCCTCTTATATTATTATTGCTTTCTATTTTGATTTTTTATTCATACAAAAAAATACAAAATTTACTGTTATGCAGACGACTGCATTATTGTAAAAATGGTATAAATAATATCAGTGCACTAGTGAAAGAATATTAGACTCCCTAGTTGACGTGTATTGGACGTGTGGTGTGATTTATTTACTCTTCAACATTGGTAAAAATCGAACATTTTCGCTACTTTGAGCTTAGTTTCAAGGTCGTTTTTTATCGTAAAAGTAATGAAAATCATCTCTATTTCTGTAATATGTTTTCCATTTTATCACCTAAGACCATGAAAACGCGAATACAATGATAAATACTATACAAAAATACACCTCAAAGTCGGCGTTTTATTCCAAAAAAACGATCAGTTTTTTTTTTTTCTCATTACGCAATGTGTGCTGCAGGATTTTTTTTATGTGGTGCACACTGACCACACAGACCCATTCTCTCACATGTGGGCCTACCAGCTTTCTCCCACTTGATTTGAAGCCGCTAGAATTATTGAGTATATATACGTCAGAAACATTGGCTCGTAAGACGTATTTATTCGTCGAAAACAGTCAAAGGGTTAACATAACTGTCATGATCCCATCAGTTTCAGCTGCTTTACCCCCTTTCATTCTACGTAATGCCTCGCGTACCTCCCCCACACTCACATCCTGTTCTTCTTCACTCCTAAAAGTTGGTATACCTCCCTGGTCAGTGCATGAAATTACCGCTTCCCTTTCTTTGTCGACATTTAAAAGTTCCTCAAAATATTCTCGCCATCTACCCAAAACCTCCATCTCCCCATCTACTAACTCCCATACTCTGTTTTTAACTGACAAATCCATTCGTTCTCTAGGCTTTCTTAACTTGTTTAACTCCAGATTTTTTTTCTTATTTTCATTAAAATTTCTTGACAGTGCCTCTCCCAGTCTATCATCTGCTCTCCTTTTGCACTCTTACCACTCTCTTCACCTTTCTTTTACTCTCCATATACTCTACTCTTCTTATAACACTTCTGCTTTGTAAAAACCTCTCATAAGATACCGTTTTCTCTCTTATCACACCCTTTACTTCATCATTCCACCAATCACTCCTCATTCCTCCTGCACCCACTCTCCTATAACCACAAACTCCTGCCCCACATTCTAATACTGCATTTTTAAAACTCGTCCAACCCTCTTCAACCCCCCCCCCCCCCCACTACTCATACATGCACCAGCCCACCTTTCAGCCAATAGTTGCTTATATCTCACCTGAACTTCCTCCTCCCTTAGTTTATACACTTTCACCTCCCTCTTGCTTGCTGTTGCCATTTACCTCTTTTTCCCATCTACCTCTTACTCTAACTGGAGCTACAACTAAATAATGATCCAATATATCAGTTGCCCCTCTATAAACATGTACATCCTGGAGCCTACCCATCAACCTTTTATCCACCAATACATAATCTAACAAACTTCTTTCATTACATGCTATATCATACCTTGTATATTTATTTATCCTCTTCATAAAATATGTATTACTTATTACCAAACCTCTTTCTACACATAGCTCAATTAAAGGCTCCCCATTTTCATTTACCCCTGGCACCCCAAATTTACCTACTACTCCCTCCACAACATTTTTGCCCACTTTAGCATTGAAATCCACGACCACCATTACTCTGACACTTGGTTCAAAACTCCCCATGCATTCACTCAACATTTCCCAAAATCTCTCTCCTCTACACTTCCCTCTTCTCCAGGTGCATATACGCTTACTATAACCCACTTTTCACATCCAACCTTTATTTTACTCCACATAATCCTTGAATTAATACATTTGTAGTCCCTCTTTTCCTGCCATATCTTATCCTTCAACATTATTGCTACTCCTTCTTTAGCTCTAACTCTGTTTGAAACCCTTGACCTAATCCTATTTATTCCTCTTCACTGAAACTCTCCCACCCCCTTCAGCTTTGTTTCACTTAAAGCCAGGACATCCAGCTTCTTCTCATTCATAACATCCACAATCATCTCTTTCTTATCATCTGCACAACATCCACGCACATTCAGTCTTCCCACTTTGACAATTTTCTTATTCTTTTTAGTAATTTTTTTTTTTTTTTTATCACACTGACCGATTCCCACCAAGGCAGGGTGGCCCGAAAAAGAAAAACTTTCACCATCATTCACTCCATCACTGTCTTGCCAGAAGGGTGCTTTACACTACAGTTTTTAAACTGCAACATTAACACCCCTCCTTCAGAGTGCAGGCACTGTACTTCCCATCTCCAGGACTCAAGTCCGGCCT